ACTCGTAATTCATTTTCTTTGCACAAAGAGCCCAAAACAGTGGCTGCCTGCATCTTTACCCCAAATGAACCAGATCGAAGTAGAGAAACAAGCACTGGCACTGCCTGGGAATGTGACCCAACAGCACTGAATGCATTTTCACGTGTATCAATAAGCTCTGACAATTGTTTCAACAGTGTCTCTTTTTCTTGCGTGGAGGCTGAGTTCTTGCGCAATTTCTCAATCAGCTGAGCAACACTTGCTAATGTCCCATCTGGATCCTCCATGTTACTACGATCTCTGTACATATATAACCAATGGAGGTTCTTATAGGTTAGCTTGTAGTTTAAATACCCAGAAAGTAAGAGGAGCATGAGATCAAAAAAATGTGTATATTGGGATTTAGGAGAGTCACATAATTCTTTTCGTTAACAAAAAGTTCTAAATTTTCCATCATTTGCAATGGAGCCAAAGATTCATTATTTTTTGGCTTGAGATTATGATGGAATAAAGCAAAATGGCTCACTAAACTGTCTGAGCTTCTTTGTAATGAAGCAGCAGTCAGTCCATGCAATTTTGGACGCGATTTTCACTATGGGTCATCCGGAAACAGTCTCTCTGTGCTTTAGTATAGGGGTAAGACTGCGTACATCCGACCCCCCCTTACCCCACCGTAGGTGGGAGCCTTTGCGGCACTGGGGTAAATGAAAATGATGAACAAAAAGTTCTAAATTGTTGAAACCTTTCTTTAGAAGATGTTTGGTGTGAAGTGGGAATATATGGAGGAGAGGAGTATTTATTTCTTGGGAAAAGAATGGATATTGGTATGTGAAATATTGGTTGGTGGGAATAAAATTACTATGAAAACTTATTTCAGTGTTTACACTTTCTTTGGAATGACGTGTGAATAAACGGTATAAAGAATAAAAATGTTCATACTATTAATTTTAAAAAATATCAATGCTAATTTCTGATTTGGCATTTGTCCATGCGTATCCCTTTTTCTTCCCTCATAATGCAAGAAACTATTGCAAGAAAAAGCAATACGAAGGGGGTCATAGGAAAAAAGTGAAAAACTATTGCTCAAAGTTGAGGAAAACATCGCCAAATTAAGAGAAAAATGGATCAACCACACAGAGGTATGATTTGCTAGCTATCGGGAACAAACAAGTGAAATCCCCCCATTCAACCAAGTGTGTTAGTGTGTTGTTAATTTATTTTGTTTCAGGTTGAGTGTCTCAGCAAGTTAACATCCTCTAAGAAGAATTGGGGTTAAGAAGTGAATGAGAGACGAATGATAAAATGGAATTATTCAAGCACTACATATGATGTGTATGTTTTCGTACTCTAATAAAGAAATGGGGAATGAAAAATTTCTCGCAAAAGTGAAGAAAACTAAACAAACAAAACGCACATGTTTCCTGATGCTATTAGCAATTACTAATTATCTCATATATTGACATCAATTTGGAAAACTCTAGTTTCTCAATCAAATCATAGTGCTATAATTATACAAGTTAAACAGAAACCTGCCAGAAAATAGATGCTTCTGCCTACTTCAGTGGTGAAACCGCGAAAAGCACGGCCACATGAAAACCCAGTCTATAGAATGTGTATAGTGATATACTCCTCTAAGAAGAAATTCATCTAATAAGAGTGGACTGACCTTGAACCCATTTTCATGAGAGAATGTGGAGCTGGGGGGTCCAGGCCATAATGCTTGCTGTCTCTATTCCTTTCCTGAGAGCGGAGTCAGTAAAGATTTTTTCATCATGAGAAATGTTCGGATCAGACAGCAGAGCATACAATATGACAGATGAACAAAAATATGGTATCAAGAAGAAATTATCCATAATAGGGTTTTAGCAATATGACAGAGCATACAATATGACAGAATTTCTTTCCTAAAAGCCAAAAGGACTACTGAAATCAGTGGTGAATAGCAATATCATCAGCAGTATTATGTACATAACTGCATCTCTTTTTAATAAATACTGGTTTTTAACCACAAAACAATGCAGCATGATAACTATGTGAATTATCATGTCTAGCAGAATTTGCGCCAAAACTATATGAAGATCTTTTTTCCCTTATGTAGTAGCAACATGATGTTTACCATAAGAATTTGAAAATACTTGCCACAAGAAGCCATAGCCAAGTAGGCAGCTAAGTAGATTGAAACAGGGTATGGAGAATGATAGGCAATCAAAATTGCAGAGCTCAGATGCAATAGTTAAACAAGCCTTCTGGTGAATATAGTAGATTATTGACTGAAATAATACCAGATCGTTACTAGGAAGGCTGCTGCTGCCACTGCTGGCAGCATGCCTCCATGCCAGTGTGGCTGCCAGCTTCCCTGTGATCTCAAGATCTTCACTTCAGATCCAGCCTCAATATACACTCAAAAGCTAACAGCTTCTGTGTCAACTTTTACTGCAACGGAGGCATTTAAGAATTAAGATTTTAAGCTCAGACTATAAAACCACACTATACAGTCAGAAACTTTTGCTTTCATCAACAAATTACCATCAAAGGTTGCACCTTTTCTCCAATTAAAGAATCCAGAATTGGTTTAACACTAAACAGAGATTTAGCAGAACACTTATAATGTGAATTGGGGGGAAATGAGATCTTTGCAAATTGGGAACTGGTGAGCCTGTAACATTCATTTTCGATACATAAACATGGGGCAGGCATACCTTAGAATAGAAGATTATGTAACGGGAGTGCACCACTTTAACATTGGAGAGAGATCTCAAGCAGGTGGATAGTGGAAATGAAGAAGAAATGAGAACGGGAACAGAGAGTTCCTTGATTTTCTAGAGGGAGATAAGAGTTTGCAAGAATGGTCGGCAGTGACTTGGGCACTTCAGAGATACAGAGGACGACGAGGTAGAGCGAGAATGACCACCGACAGACTATCCAGAGAGGCTAAACTGTGGCGTGCATCTGATTTCCCCCTTGGAGCTTGGTTTAACTGGCTTGACTGAGCTTTGCCACCTCAAGCTCCTCACCGGCCCACCATCTACTTCCGCTCTATAATAAGCAAAAAAAAAATAAAAAATCAGTGTGTAAGAAATGTGTTTGATGCTGTTTTAGCTTAACTTTCTCTCTTTGTTCAACCTTCTGGTCTCTTGTAATATTTGTTCTACTATTTGATGATAAATTTACAATAAAAAGGAAAATAGTCAAATACTCCCTTCTTTCTCTAATAGATGGGAGTATAGCATTTGGCACAAGATTTAAAAAGGAATTAATAGGGATAGGATAAAAGGTGTAGTGGGTTGTGCGTAAAGGTAAAAGTAAGAAAGAGAATGAAAAAGTAAGAAAGCGAATGAGGGTAAATAAGTATATTTATTGAAAAAACTTACCAAAAGTGGAAAGGGAAACAACTAATAGAGAACATCCCAAAATGAAAGGAGGGCCAAGTATTAGAGAACGGGGGGAGTAAGTCTTTCTATTATTTTCAAACTGTCACTTAGGATGTTTTTACTTGGATTGTAATTCATCTCAGACCAGACCAGATCAGACCAGACCAGACCAATTCAGACCAGACCAGACCAGACTTGGATAGTTATAAAAATACAAAGAAACCAGACCAGTACAGACCAGACCAGATCAGACCAGACCAGACCAGCAAATTACAGTCCAAGTAAAAACATCCTTAACCTCACGTAATGAAAAAAGTATCATATAAGTGCACTTACTTTAAAAAAATTGATCAATTTAGCCATTCATTCAGTTTTTTTTCTCTTATAGCAAGTTTTTTATATTTAAAAAAAATTGTTAAAATTTGAATAAATATAGAAGTTGTGTATGAAGAATAACAAATGTGTTATGTATGAAACTTGTACTGTGAATATTTTGATTGTGTTCATATTATATGCATATTGTTATCATGTTTTCATATCATGATGTCATTACACATAATACAAGCTCAGTGTGTTTATGCATATAATTAAAGTAATTAAATTGAAAGATAATTTGCAATATGAAGAAAAATGAATATGTTATGTATTTGAATAAATATATAAGTTGTGTATGAAGAATAAAAAATGTGTTATGTATGGAACTTTTACCGTGAAGATTTTGATTGTGTTCATATTATATGCATATTGTTATCATGTTTTCATATCATAATGTCATTACTCATAGTACAAACTCAGTGTGTTTATGCATATAATTAAAGTATTGAAATTGAAAGATAATTTACAATATGATTTAATTCACAATCCAATTAATAGTTAAGCTTATTATGTAAATGTTACAAATTAATTAAATACTATAATGTAAGAGTATGAATTATTTTTTATAATATATGAGCATTGGCATCATTTGATGAGTTAAACAATGATTGTAAAATCAATGTATTGTTAACATTTATTATAAGGGGCGGAGGGAGGGGTGGCCTGGTTGGGCCCTGGCCCAGGGCAATTTTTTTTTTTCTATTATGTATTATTTTTTAAATTTGTTTTTAAAATTGGCCCAGTGCAAATATAAGAATGGCCCAGTGTAGAAAAACTGTTCGGCCCTAATCTAAAGCAAAGAAGCGCAACAGCCGATCGACAGCGATGACCTCCGACGTATCACGCACCTGACACATAGAGACTGCGAAGTTGTTCTCTTCATCTTAATCTTATTACTTATTCCTTATTCTTATTTTATTCAGATCAGATCAGAAAGATTCAGATCAGATCAGAAAGATTCAGATCAGATCAGAAAGATTCAGATCAGATCAGATCAGAAAGATTCAGATCAGATCGGGTCAGATCAGAAAGATTCAGAAACATTCAGATCAGAAACATTCAGATCAGACCAGAAGCATTCGGATCAGATAAGAAACATTTAGATCAGATCAGAAGCATTCAGATCAGATCAGAAAAATTAATTCAGATCAAATTAATTGCATTGGACGGTACTTCCTAACATTAGTAATAATACGTATATATCTCTATAACATTAGTATATATCTACAACATTTATTTCTCCATCTAACAACATTTATATCTCTTTTACTTTAGTCTGCTATTTAAGTTTGCACAACGGTGCATTTGCCCAACACCAATTGAGAAGAAGAAAATCAGTATCTATGGGAACGCCATAATGGAGAGGTATTTAGAAGAAGACATTCAATCTGGTTTGAGGTAAGCTTTATCCATTATTTTAAATTTGGGTTTATTCATTATTGTTATTACATACTCAGTATAGTACGTCCCGGACCCTCAAGTGTTGTGCTTGGAAGAATGGTTGGGCTAATGTCAATCCTCCATATGTATTACGTATATCTGGGCCACTTATTTCTGGAGGTGTTTACATAGGTTCATTTGTGTGTCTCTACATATGTCGAAATATACAACACTTATTTATTCACACAAAAAAAACTGTGTATGTATTATATCTGCTCTACACGAATGGAAGGTCAAACTTTAAATTATGGCTCCGGAGTCCACACCGGCGAAACAATTGAGGGGTGAGCCGGTGCTGGCACCCCCTCGCCGGAATAGTTTAGGCATATGTATAGTTAATATTTTTATTTGTATATAGTATACCAACTTATATACTGCTTGTGTTCTATAGTTTTAATATTATTTGTATGTTGTTATTAGTATTATTATTATTCATATTTTTCTTTGTGTAAATATTAGACATTGGAAATGGGTAGTTCTGTTGAACGAGCCATTTGGTCGAATCAGGACACCAAAATATTTCTGGAGATATGCATTGAAATGAAAGCAGGAGCAAAGTCACAAAAGACAAATTGGGCTAAAATTGTTCAAAACTTAAATCTAGCAACCGGTAAAACATATACGGATAGGAAAGTTAGGAACAAGTATGATGACTTGAGAGCACTTTTCAAATTTTGGAATGAAATGGAGTTGAAGTGGACTGGCCTAGCTTTTGATCCTGGAACTGGTGTCCCATTGATCGAGCAAGATGATAGATGGGGAGGTTTTGTAGAGGTAAAAATTATTGATATTTTTTTACGTAGTTCCAAATGTGAACACGTATGTGTTAAAATATTACCTATTTTTCTTAAACAGAAACATAAAGGAGTACCAAACAGATTCTTGAAGAAACCTTTGGCCCATTTGAGTTTACTCCGTAGCCTTTATAGTGGCTCATTTGCAAGTAGCCAGTACAGCTACTCACCGGCATGTGAAACCGGTAAGAAGCTACTTCGAAAAGAACGTCACAACACCGGTGATAAAGGCAGTGGCGACAGTGATGACAGTGAGTCATATCAGGTGCACTATGAACATGAAATATCTGATGAAGGGAGTAAAAGTCCCCCAACCTCATGTTCAAAGGGGAAGCGAAAAAGTGCTGGAAGTGTTAGTTCTTCCAAGAAAGCTAGGAGTGATATCCAAAAATGTTTAGATATCTTGAAAATGTCTATCAAAAATGTTAGGACCTGAAGAATTCTTTTGAATCGTATAACGTCGATCATATATACAAGCTTGTTGTGGAGTTATCCAGATGATTTTGAGCCACACGAAAGAAATGCTTTAATGAGTGATTTGACATTTTATCATGCTCGTGTGGTCAAAGATTCTCAATTTCAAGTTCTCACTCTTGCAAAGTTATGTGAAATGCTCGTGAAAACAAGAAAGGCTGAGGACTTTAAACTGATTACAAGTTTGATACGTCTTGTATTAACATTACTAGTTTCTACTGACACAACTGAGAGAGATTTTTCGGCAATGAAGCATGGTCAAGAATGCAATTCGAAACAAGATGGTTGATGAATATCTTGGTGATAATTTGACCATTTTTATTAAAAGAGAACTTGTTAGCACAATAAGTATAGATTCTCTTATCGACGAGTTTGCTAAAGTAAAGGATCGCCGAGTCCAATTAATTTTGTAAACATAATGTATTGTGTTTTTTGGAGTAACAACTTTTGTGATAAACTTTAATTAATTTGATTATGATATTTATTACTTAAAAATTCTATCTTGAAGTTTAGTTGGAATCCCGCCCAGCCTTCTTTGTTGTCCTGGCTCCGCCCAAGAGAATGAATCATACCTCTTGTGCGGTATTTTCCTTTGGAAACCAACATCATCAATTTGTTCAAAGTATTCTTCTTGAAGCTTCGGGCAAAATTCCGTAAGATACCTGTGAGATATGCGTATGTTGCATGCATGCCTTGAAATCTTGAGCTTTTGATCATAAGAGAAACTCATTTATTAAAGAAGTCAAGTCAAAAATTTGACTCTCTAGGGATGATGTGTTGGTATCCATGATAACAACTTCTTCAAAGTTGTTATAGATTGGCACCACTATGTTTTTCGGAAATTCATTTCTCGTTAATGTTTATCATATACTCTCATAAAACTCATAAAAGAAAAGTAAGAAATCTTTATACTTTTATTAATTTTTTTTCTGAAATAAAATAAAAATAATATTCTTTCCCCGGTAACGGTGCCAAATTTGACGGCACTAAAGTCGTTGTGTGCCTCAAAATAAATTCAATACTTGCACTAATACATAGTATAGTGGAGTGGAGTTCATATCCAAATGGAAACAAATGTTTTTGTGTTATGAAACTAGTAAATAAAAGGGGGGTTTTGGGATTCTGTGATTTAATTTAATTAAACACTAAGAAGAACGACTTATATGTGTTTTAATTCAAAGATATAAAGAACTTGACTTTGCTACTTTTCACTTGTTGATATGTTTGTTGATCTCAGTTATATCTATAACTTATCCCATCTCGAATACTCAATCAAGGAGTATCTCCAATTCATCGAGGGTGGTTATTAATAACGACCGTTCATTAATAACCCTTACTATTAGCCAAGTATAGAACACCGCCATATACCGACTTGATAGTAGCTTTTAATCTTTTAATTCCTTGATGAAATCAATTGAGATTGATAACCTCAACACAACGGTTTTGATTTAACCAACACAATTAATCTCTCTTAAAATTATTAACCACGACCATGCATTAGTAACCTAAGGTTACTTACTTGTGAAACGATCAATGATTAACCATCGGTTCATTGATCGTTTCTAGTAGTAATTAATGTCAAGGTGTTAACTAATTGTCATCTTAGCAACACTCCCCAACATTAATATAGAGATAGAATAAGGGAGGAATTAATATTCAAGGGAAGAAGTAAAAAACAACTCACAACTTTAACATTCAACGAGATTCAAGAGCAAAACTAAGAAATGGAAATTTAGCTCCTCATTTGGAGACTAAAAAATGCTAGAAAAATATAAAGAAAATATTATTCTAAGTTGAGCTTAAATATATCACTAGTGCAAAATACACATTGTATAACTAAGTTTTTAATATTGGTTCACGTTTAACCGTTATGAAATGTAGGTGCGGGGTCATATTTATAAATAATAAAAGTTGAATAAGTTCACTGGGTAAGTATTATAAATATAAAATCTTATTTATAACGGGTGAAAGAATTAACCGACATTGTTAAGTAAAAACGGGGTCATTTAAATAATTTCTGGAAACTTAATTTCGAAATGGGGGCTTTTTTATAATATTTAAAAATGCTTTTCATGTCAGCTAATTTGTAACCCTTACGAAAGATACCGCCGATTAACATACACAGTACATGAGTACGTTAACCTACCGCTCGGCCCAAGTACAATTAATCTTTCTCTTTAAACCCTTCACGAAGAATACGAAGTATACGGAGTACAGAGAAGACCTACGACGGAGAGGAGGACTTCGACGGAGAAGATGGCATCGATGGAGAAGAGGGATTCGACGACAACCGCTGCTGCTCCCAATCAACCACCGCTCGGCCCAAGTACAATTAATCTTTCTATTTAAACCCTTCATGAAGAATACGAAGTATACGGAGTACAAAGAAGACCTACGATGGAGAGGAGGACTTCGACGGAGAAGACGGCGTCGACGGAGAAGAGGGATTCGAAGACCACCGCTGCTGCTCCCAATCAACTGATGTTCCTTCTTTTAACATTTCATCTCCTTCGCCAGAGACCATTTTTCCAACTGGTAATTTTCTTACACACTAAATATGTATTTGGTTTTACTTTTCATAATTGATTCATGTATATATTTCTCTGGTATTTGCTTAATTTTGTTTGGCTAAAGGGTCAAATAGGTCCCTGTACCTTTCCGTATTGTTCAATTTGCCCTCCGAACTAAAAAAAAGCTTCAATTGGCACCCTGAACTCCATAAAAAGTTTCAAATTTTACTTTTTGCTGGTCACAAGCCGGTCACCGCCACATCACCCAGTAGGGTGCCAACTGTGCATGTGACGTGGCAACTTAGGGGGTCAAAAAGCCCTTGAACCCGATCGAATCGTTCAATTTACCCCCTCAACCCTAAAAAATGTCAAAATATTTTTAAGGGTTGAGGGGGTAAATTGAACATTTCAGTCGGGTTCAGGGGCTTATTTGACCCCCTAAGTTGCCATGTCACATGCACAGTTGGCACCCTACCGGGTGACATGGCGGTGACCGGATTGAAACCTGCAAAAAGTGAAATTTGAATATTTTTATCGAGCTCAGGGTGCCAATTGGAGCTTTTTTGGGTTGAGGGGGCAAATTGAGCAATCCGAAAGGGTACAAGGACTTATTTGACCCTTTAGCATTTTGTTTTGATTTATGAAGAAGCTGGAAGATTTTTAGGTTTATGTTTTTAGTTGTCTATACCTATTTGTTAAAATGTCTCAATGAAAAACCAAGGACTGAGAGCATAGCGCTTGTTCCCTGCAAAATGGATGTCATTCAACGCTTTCCCCAATGAAATTTCCAATGAATGTTTCTTCACAATATGATGTGTAATTTATTTAATTGCTAGTCCTCTTTCTAATAGCCTAATTAAATTATTATTTAAAACATATGATTATTTTTTACCCCCGAGCTCGTTTTGTGTAGGGGTGGGTTCGGTCCGGTCTGGTTCGGGTTTTTGCTAAACCCAGAAATTACCCGGAGGTATCGGGTTATGAAAATTAAGGACCGGAACAAATTCCACTGTATTCGGTCCGAGTCGGGTTTTTGATAGATCGGGTTCGGTCCGGGTTCGGGTTGGGTCGGTTAAAGCCTGGATGTGAAATCATATCACTGTCTTTTTATATTTTAAAACCTATTTTTAAATAAAACTAATAAAAAACACAAGCCGCAAATAATAACACAAATATTAGTCTCCAAAATCACCAACAATTCAAATCCAAATAAGATAATTATCTTTATTTTGTTTAAGATTCATATAAATAAATAATATAGGTTTTCTAAAAATATTACGGAATAAAACTTATAGATAAAAAAGTGACTAAATTTACTACTACGTATAATAAATATATTTCCATGGTCATTATGGTAAACAAATTGAACATATTTTTACTCACTAAATGTTACTAGGTCATGTTTTCATCCACCATGATTATAATCATATATTAGGAATTATTTGTATATTATATTTGTATAATATATTGATTTTATATTAAAGCTAATTGTTTCGGGTTTTTATCGGTCCGCGCCGGGTTATAGATTTTAGGGCCCGCTTATGAGCCCGAATTTTCGGGTTCGGTCCATTTTTTGTTATTCAGGCCGGTTAAATAGAAAAAACCCAGACCGGGAATATCATTCGGGTCGAGCTAGGGTCGGTTTTCGGGTTTCGGTTCGGGTTTTCCCACCCCTAGTTTTGTGTATATATACTTTTCTACCCCGAGCTAGATAGTCTTGTTTCTAATACGATTATTTTTTTATCGGAGTTTTATTTGCTATACATTTTAGATTGGGTTGAGTAAGTTTCTTTATAATTGTGTTACTTTCTATCTAAAATTTATAGCAAATAAATAGATGAGGAACACAATGCGTGCAACGGAGTGTAAATGTGTAATGGGAAAGATTTTAAGTAAGAGGTTATTTCATGTATTTGGGATCTAGTATCAACAGAACATAGATATTCATTAAGTCAGATTAGAATGTAAGGATGCAAAATAATGAGTGTAACAGATGTAGTTCAGATGATGGGGATAACAATCATAACACTTAAACATAGAGTTCACAATGAAAATTAAAGATCAACATGAAAGTGATGTATCAACAATTGAACAAAAATGGAGGAGAGCCAGCTATGCTGTCACGTTTGTTGTCAAGGGCTAAGCGCCTTACTACGATAGTGGCAGATGATCTCGAGAGATTCTCTTAGTTCATGTAGACTTAGTGATATGGGATTAGGCTTCTATTGTTATTGATTTGGGTTGAAAGGGAAGGGGATGAGTGGGGGTATATCTTATGGTTCTGTAATCCAAAATATAGAAAAATGCATGTTGAACAACTTTATATAATATAAAAAAATGGAAAAGCTAACATTTGAGCATGACTTTGTCAAAAATACATTAAAGGAATCCAACATACTTGGGCGGTCTTTTTTTTATGTATCAAAGCTCCACAGATCTATGAGGAAATTGAAATATATCAGTAGTTAGAGTTGTGTGAAAATTGAAATGTTGTAACCATGGAGGAAGCATATTGTGAGCTAATAGTGAAATGTAAGGGTTCAATTTGAACAATTTTGTGGATTACTAAGTTTCTGTCAGCAAATTCATGTTGCGTTTTAACTATAGGAAAGGGAAACTGTAGGATGATCGATGTTAATACTATATCATTTCTGTTTATTGGAGCAACATTATAGTTAGAAATTATGTTATAGAGGAATTTGATTATCATGTTGAAAATCGTGAGATCTGAATTTCCACAATTTCTTCTTAAAAAAGTGATCAGAACTTAAAAGTGTACTAGCTGTAAAGCTCATTGTATTGCTTGATTGGTTGTTGGAAGGTATTACAGATTTATTTGAAGTTAGTACGGAACAATATGCCATAGTACAGTGACATGTGATAGAATTGTAACTTGGTTTTGCAGGTGAGACGTATGGGGCAGCGATATGGCAGGTTCCTGAGCTATATGGGCAGTTAAATTCACCGCAGCTGGA